GAGGATGGGGTTCGGCACGACCGCCGACCAGAGTTATAGGGTGTATGGGTTGTCGAGCACCGGCCGCAGCTTGATCAGAGCGGCGCCGGTCGCTCGGAAACCCATTGCCCCCTATGGCCCTATAACAATATTATTAATCTAGGTTTAATATAAAATATATTTAAAAATGAATAAACAATGTGAAATATGTGGCGATAATGCATGCGGTAATACAATTTTGTTTTCAATTAATTAATTTTTATAAAACTAATCAATAATTTTGTGTATTTAGGCAGAAATTTTGGTGTTATATCATGTGAGAGTTGTAAAGCATTCTTTAGGAGATACGGCAAACAGATTGAGGTAAAGTACAATGCGATCATTTGACCATGGTCATTGTTGGCCATTAATATTACACTATGCATGGTAATTTTAANTAAAGTACAATGCGATCATTTGACCATGGTCATTGTTGGCCATTAATATTACACTATGCATGGTAATTTTAACTGTATTATTTACTATTAGCAATTGATATGCCCTTCAAATGGCAATTGTTATATAAATACATTGACGAGAAATATGTGCAAACAATGCAGACTTAGAAAGTGTTATGCAATGGGAATGAAAAAAGTAATGTTAAAATTAATTGACAATTGATTTATTTTGATTAAAATTGTGAAAATTTTTATCATTTTCAGGAATTTATTAGAAATAAATCCGAGAATCAGTTGAGAAGAGAATTGATTACCGAAAACAAAGTCAGAAGATTTGCGTTCAATGAATACCGTATTTCTTCGACATGTAATTCATCTAACGATTCAACAATTAATGAGTTTTTAATGTGTAAAGAATTGGACAATAATTTTATAGACTTTGATCATGTTGAGTTTGACAAACAGATTGCACAATTAGAAAATAATGTGCTAGCTACATCAGATTCAGTAATTGTACATGATGAATATAAAACACATAATATGCCAATTATTCCGGTATTTAAATCGCTGACCGATTATAACGGTTTGAATGAACTGGAAATGTGTCGGATATCGGAACTGAAGGCGGCGTTCAATGTGTTTGACTATCCTTTGCCTAAATGTTTGATACAAATCACGAGTTTAGAGGAATTGTTGCGAAAGTCGGTCAACAAAAACGAGCTCTTTGTGAAAGACGTGACCAGATTTCTGAAGCGATTGCATTCATACAAAAGCCTGTGTCCTGAGGACCAGTTGGCGCTACTTAAACATGGTTTTAATGAACTCACTTCAGTGTTGTATTTCAAATATTATGACAGACGTAGCGATTATTTTCTAATGCCCTTGGTCAGTGGTATAGTTTAGTTTATATAAATTGCATTATGCTTAAATTGACTATAAATATATTATACTATATACTATAAATGATATAATTATATTGCAGGATAGCGATGATATGTCGGCTGTGGTAAAAGTAGATATTTTTATGTATGACGATCAGGAGTTTAAGGATATGGTAATCAAACATGTTAATAAAATGATGGTCAATTGGGAGTATGATGACCCGACAATCATATATTTGGTAATTTAATATTAATGACCATTACATATTGTATAAAATACTAATTAATATATCACATATAGTTGACAGCGATTATGGTTTTTGACCCAAACCGACCTGAACTCACTCATAGAGTTAACATTAGGTAAAGAATGTGTTTAATTATGACATGTGTTGTCAATATCTAGCATAAAATACACATGATGGTAATTTTTCAATTGTAATTTATATTAGACTCGAACGACAACTGTATATATATTTACTGCAAAGATATCTACTATTGAAATACGGGTCCGAATGTGAATCGCGATCGAGATTAACATCACTTATGGATAGTTTAATGAATTTACAGCTTTGCAGTCATATTGAGCTCAAATATAGCGCCAAACACTTCGGCTCTTATATTCAATACTACGGACCGCTTATGAGAGAAATATATCAGTTTTGCAACACTTCATTGAATTTGTTGTAAATTTCATTATATCTAATAAATGCTACAAAGTTATAAACAATTGTTTAGTCAAGGTTTACTAATTATAAATTAATTATTTTCATCTAGTATACACGGTTTACTGACGGTTTTTGAAAATGTGTGTGTGAGAGAGAGAGAGAGAGAGAGAGAGAGAGATTTCAAAAAGCGGATATAGAGAGATCTATTTATATATTTTTAATCCGGTAAATTAACTTAAAAATCCTATGTTAGCTAATCAATGTAAATGCTTTATTTAATAATGTAAATGCATTAACCAATTTACACGATCTATTCATAAAACCTGTCTTAAATAAATCACTTAATTTTACATTAATGTTTAGCAACTATTGTAATGGTACATAAAGTAAATAATCAAACGAATAATTTCAAGTTACTTTTGTATTTTAATAGATATAAAAGATTATAATTAAAAAACTGCTAAAAATAATGTCAATGTAAGCGCAGGTGACTCCGGAATTAAGGCATCGGTGCAGTTGTAAAATCGCTACACTTTACCAAGATGTTTAGTTTATTCAGTGTCCATATGTCGGCCTTCAGACAGTCCTCCAATTGGTTTTCCGCAGCGGAGACAACACTGTATCGGCGAGAGTGTACATATTAGCATGCACCTTTTATATCACATTGCGCTTTAACCGAGCTTTGATATCAACGCAAAACAGATGATTAAATTAAACCATGGTCCATTCATGGTTGCCTCCACGTTGGCAATTAAGGCACAAGTAGGCTTAAAATGGACTTGGTACAAGCTACTGTATTTGTGTAAATTAGTATTTGTTTTAATTATTATTAATTGATTAGCGTTTACATGAATACTTACAGATAAGTACCGCCAACACATACCATCACATATAGACCAGGGCTACTATTTTCAGCATTTGTTAACATTTGCTGAGCAAACAATTGTAGGACACACTGAGTAAACCAAGCATTTCGGTAAAGTGTAGCAATTTTACAACTGCACCGACGCCTTAATTCCGGGGTTACCTGTGCTTACATTTGCACTATTTTTAGCAGTTTTTTAATTATTATCTTTTATATCAATTAAAATATAAAAGTAAATTGTAACTATTAGTTAGGTTAGTGTAGCTAATTTATTAACAATATATGACAGATGAAGATAATTTATTATTGATTGTAAAATTAGTTTTTATGACGAGAGAGAGAGAGAGAGAGAGAGAGAGAGAGAGAGAGTTTTCAGGAATAAATGGTAAATGGATTCTGTGTTTACAATATTTTTTACTTATTAAAAATTATTAAAATACTTATTCCGAAATATAATATTTATAATGCTTAAGAAATGAATAGTTTATTTTGTTAAAATTTTAATTAAACAAATAATTACTACAAAAATTCATATAAATTTAATTCATAAAATTTTAGTAAATTACACGATAAGTATAAACCATTTAAAGTTTTGGAAATAAACACCTCGTTCTTACAACTGAACCGATGCCTTAATTCTAAAGTTACCTACGCTTACAGTTGACATACAGTTTGGGGCAAATGCTTAAAGTTTTTTATTTTTACAGATCTATGTCAAATCAGATACATCTGTGTCAAGCCGTTTCAGTTATGTTGCTTTACTCGCCGGTGCAGTGCTGTCGCTGTCGTTGAGCACCGATAGTCGTAAACCGGAGTTACAGGCGTTGGTAAGTATTGTTAACCACCTGTCACTCCGGTTTGCGACTATCGGGCGCTGTATTCAGTTTGTCTCCGGATACGGCCTTCAGGAATGTCCGTAAAATTGTTTTATTGTGCAAAACAAATGATTTATTTATATCCGTGTCATTCATGGCTATCCTCGACATATTTGGCCAATTTGTCAACAATTCGGTCCACTTTTGCCTCATTATCGCCGCCGATGGGCTCTGAAGAGACGTGTCTCGTGTACTCTCCGTTCACTTCTCCGGCTGTCAAACCGTTTGCTCCGATACTCACTATAATTTTGTATTTGTTTTAATTATTATCAATTGATTAGCGTTTAAATGAATACTTACTGTTAGGACTGGCCATCACATACCCCAACATAACAGCGAGGGCTACTTTTTTCAACATTTTTTATTATAATCCTGGTATCTGTATCCGTACCCACTGTATAATTTAGTAGTTGTTATAATTATTATCATTTAATTAGCGTTTAAATGAATACTTACAGAGAGGACCCCCAACACAAAGATCACGGCTAATGTTTGCAGCATTATTTTTAATTGATAATATTTGCTATGAAATATCAATGCAAAATGAAACTGAAATCTGTTTTAAATAAATTTTACATTAATGTTTAGAAACTACTGTAATGGCATATAAACGGGATAATTTAACAAATAATTTCAGTTAATTTTTGTATTGTAAATAATCAAGATTTTTTATGAGCACATTTTTAACAGCATTTTTATGATATCTTTTAAAATTGTAGTGAATTTCAAGAATAGTTTAAATTATTAAAAGTCCATAAACAAAACCGAATCCGGAATTACTTGCGCTTACATTTGCACCCGTATTAGACCGGCGCCTGAATATCCTGATCGATGTCAGCCAATGTAACGGCCAGTTGTGTCTTAAGCTGTTCCAGTTCTTTGGTGTCCTCAACAGTCGCCGGCTTGAACTCTGTGTCCAATTCAGCCAATTTGTTGGCAACTCCTTTGGGCGCCATTTCTAACGTTTCCACCACTCGTTTGTCCACCGATTGGATCGCACTCTGGATTTGTGTTAACCAACGCCTGTAACTCCGGTTTGCGACTATCGGACGCTGTATTCAGTTGTGTGGCCGACACAGCCTTCACTGGGGCTGTACTCCAATTGGTTACGCAAAGCGGAGGCAACATTGTATTTATTAAGGCTATATGTAAAATAGCATGCACTTTTTTACGTATGGTGTTGACCCTATCTGTGACATTAAGCACTGGATCTTTTGCTTCAGTTATAAGTGGTGTAACACTTGATTTATTAAACCTTGGTACAGAAATAACCTTGTTTACATTGGCAAGAGTACGGCCCACACTAATTGTGATATCGTCTGTATTCACATTCACTGTAAAATTTAGCATTTGTTATAATTTTAATAATGGTTTAGCATTTTAATAAATACTTACAGTGCGAACACATTCTCAGAATTTTATAATATTTTATTTTTATTAAAGTACAAAATTAACTGAAATTATGTGTTATTTTATCCAGTTTATATACTTTTACAATAGTTGCTAAACATTAATGTGCAATTAAGTAATTTATTTAAAACAGGTTTACTAGCATGGATTGTATAAATTGATTAATTAATAAATTTATTATTAATTATTTTGTTTTCAATTTTAAGTAAATTTTGAATGTAGTTTCAGTAAACATTAATATTAAATACACCTAGACTAATTTCTGTTAATTATAAATACATGGTTTCAAAAGTTATAGAAATTTTACGTTTATTGTGACGTCAATTACATAATAATTAATGACTACAATAGGTTTGGATCGTAATTTAATATAACATTTGAACACATGCAACATATGGTCATTTATTATATTCAATATATAACCGGTATTTGGTCTCAAATATTATATTAATAAATTAAACACTTGAATAATGTTGAATGAATTTTATAATAAAAGTAATGTCAGAGAAAATTGCCATCAAATATAATGGTGATTACCATGGGCAACTAATTGGTGATATAATTTGCATATAATCTATCCAGTTCATAAATTAAGGTGATTTGTTAGGTCTCTGATCACTGCTCTGACCATGTGATAGGGTTGTTCTCTTAAAGTCTACAAATAAATGCTATGAAGTTATCAATAAATATTCTGTCAAATTAAACTAAATAAATTATTTTCACCTGGTATATTGTAAATTGACGTACAGTATATTGTAAACGTATGAAAGTGAGTGCGTAAATGTGTGTGTGTGTGTGTGTGTGTGTGTGTGTGTGTGTGTGTGTTGCGACCGAACAGTGCGACAAACAAAGAGAGACTAACTTAAGGCATGGCATGCATGGCTCTTAAGTAGGGGCTCTACACGTGTAGTGTAGAGTGAATTGAGGTAAAGGTGAGGGAAAAACAGTTGGAAACTGAATGTTAGGATTGGTTGGGGATAAGGCATACAATTTGAATTCATGGAAAAGTACAAAATGTTTTAACCAATAGAAAGTTAGGACACATGTCGTGTCAATATAAATTTAGTCATTTGTATTGACACAAATATCATATGGTAGATAATAACTAAGCTCTATTTATTATATAACTATACTTATATAAAAACACAATCTCAATAAGGTAAATAGATAAATTGTTAAATAAATAAGGACAGTAATAGTTGATTTAACTCTTGTTAATTGTTTAACATGTTTAGTATAACTCTACTCATTAAATACTTTAATTAGATGATGCANTCCATGCGCAACATTGCAAACCGAAATATTTCATACATGTCCGGAATCTCCATGATCGTTTTACTCGATGGATAGGTAAACACTTTGGACGCCCCCAACAGCTCTGATATACGCTTTAACTGGAGTTGATTTATGCCATTATAATCAACGAGTGATTCAAACACCGGAATTGCCGGCAATTGGCTGTCATTTAGCTCTTGGTCTAAATGACAGCTGTTCTCGATGTCCATAATCTGTCCGTTGAGTACTTCGTCATTGATATCTGCCGTCGAGTCAATCAAAACGTCGATTTCGTTGCACTCCTGAGAAGAGTCGGAACTAATAGTCATTGTCTTTGACTCCAGAGATGAAGAACTCGTTGTTTTCAGTAGTTTTTGTCGGCGTTTCTCTTCGCCCATCCGTCGTCTCCACTCGTTTTCCTCATCGCTTCGTATGATTTGCTGTTTGAATGAAAAATTATATTAAATATGTTTACAATTCATATGAATTTTTAGTAATATATTTAATTACGGATTTCATTCCGACGGCCAAACACTTGTCGAGTCGGCATTTCTGACACATTTTTCTCGTTTGTGATGTTATAATACAATTGCCGTCCGAAACACATTCAATACAATTCTGTAAACATTAAATAAATTCATAAAAGTTTGTATAAAAACATAATTATATTCATAACAAACGTTGTCTTTAAGGGACAGTCGACGGAAGAATGCTTTACAAGTTTCACAAGTAATTGCACCGTAATTACGGCCTAAAATTTTTTAATACATGTTATTTTATCTTATTTAATTATGTTAATTAATTTTAATAACATACCAACTTGTTTATAATCGCCACATATTTGACAGATTTTTACTGTTTTTGTATTATTATTCATATTTATTTTATTACCATGGATATATTAGATGGTTATATCTCGTCCAAAATTTATATTCTTAAGGCTCGTTCTTGAGATACAAGATGGCCGACCAGAATAATGTCGTGGAGAGAGAGAGAGAGAGAGAGAGAGAGATTTAGGCAGCGATTGTAGAGAAATACTGTATTTATAATTTTTACTACGTAAATTAAGTTTTAAGTTTTAAAAATCTTGCATCATCTAATTAAAGTATTTAATGAGTAGAGTTATACTAAACATGTTAAACAATTAACAAGAGTTAAATCAACTATTACTGTCCTTATTTATTTAACAATTTATCTATTTACCTTATTGAGATTGTGTTTTTATATAAGTATAGTTATATAATAAATAGAGCTTAGTTATTATCTACCATATGATATTTGTGTCAATACAAATGACTAAATTTATATTGACACGACATGTGTCCTAACTTTCTATTGGTTAAAACATTTTGTACTTTTCCATGAATTCAAATTGTATGCCTTATCCCCAACCAATCCTAACATTCAGTTTCCAACTGTTTTTCCCTCACCTTTACCTCAATTCACTCTACACTACACGTGTAGAGCCCCTACTTAAGAGCCATGCATGCCATGCCTTAAGTTAGTCTCTCTTTGTTTGTCGCACTGTTCGGTCGCAACACAGACTCCACTCGACCAGAGTGTCCGCCATTAACTCTTTGTTCTCCACATGTGCTAATCGGTCCTATCTGTGACCAGCATTTTAACCACTTTTAATCAATTGTCTTATTGTACTTTTACCAGTTTTTTACCATTTATTTTGTGCTAAATAAAGTAATTTAATCTGCAATCAAAAGCTAAGACAAAATCTCTGCTTCCGTAAAAGCTGGACATTTGTATCTGCTTTCCAAAAGCTAAGACAAATCCTCTGCTTCCGTAAAAGCTGGGAAATCGTGTCCGCTTTCATACCAGAGTTCATCACACGTCGCTCCACACGGACTTCGACCGCCGCTTATGTGAACGACATCTCCACTCAAATGTCCTTTTGAGCGGAGATATACTCCTTAACCCTCTCCACGACATTATTCTGGTCGGCCATCTTGTATCTCAAGAACGAGCCTTAAGAATATAAATTTTGGACGAGATATAACCATCTAATATATCCATGGTAATAAAATAAATATGAATAATAATACAAAAACAGTAAAAATCTGTCAAATATGTGGCGATTATAAACAAGTTGGTATGTTATTAAAATTAATTAACATAATTAAATAAGATAAAATAACATGTATTAAAAAATTTTAGGCCGTAATTACGGTGCAATTACTTGTGAAACTTGTAAAGCATTCTTCCGTCGACTGTCCCTTAAAGACAACGTTTGTTATGAATATAATTATGTTTTTATACAAACTTTTATGAATTTATTTAATGTTTACAGAATTGTATTGAATGTGTTTCGGACGGCAATTGTATTATAACATCACAAACGAGAAAAATGTGTCAGAAATGCCGACTCGACAAGTGTTTGGCCGTCGGAATGAAATCCGTAATTAAATATATTACTAAAAATTCATATGAATTGTAAACATATTTAATATAATTTTTCATTCAAACAGCAAATCATACGAAGCGATGAGGAAAACGAGTGGAGACGACGGATGGGCGAAGAGAAACGCCGACAAAAACTACTGAAAACAACGAGTTCTTCATCTCTGGAGTCAAAGACAATGACTATTAGTTCCGACTCTTCTCAGGAGTGCAACGAAATCGACGTTTTGATTGACTCGACGGCAGATATCAATGACGAAGTACTCAACGGACAGATTATGGACATCGAGAACAGCTGTCATTTAGACCAAGAGCTAAATGACAGCCAATTGCCGGCAATTCCGGTGTTTGAATCACTCGTTGATTATAATGGCATAAATCAACTCCAGTTAAAGCGTATATCAGAGCTGTTGGGGGCGTCCAAAGTGTTTACCTATCCATCGAGTAAAACGATCATGGAAATTCCGGACATGTATGAAATATTTCGGTTTGCAATGTTGCGCATGGAATGTCACATTAATGAGATTACCACGTTCACCAAACAACTCGATGGTTTTGCCACTATATGTAGTGAAGATCAGTTGACTTTACTTAAAACGGGTTGTTTTGAAGTATTAATGTTTAGATTTGTGTTGGATTTTACTCCCGAGAGACAGGAGAAATTGCTCTGGGTGGTAAGTTTAATAATTATAAACTGATAATACTTTTTATTAAAACAATATAATTGTTATTTTTTATCAGAATAATGAATATTCTTTGAGAGTATGCAAACAATTGCCAGAATTTACTAAATGGACGGGTTATGAGTGGTATCAACGGTTCTTACATAATGTGGATCCAGTGTGGAAAAGTGACCCTGTTATTTTGCACATGGTAAATATTGAAATATGTAAAATACCTTTTAATATAATATTTATTATATTGCATTATGTTTACATGATCATTCAGTTATTATTAAATTTAACACATATTTATCAATTTAGTTAACAGCACTCTTACTCTATAACCCGAATCGACCGAATTTATTACATCGAGAGAATGTTAAGTAAGTTTTAGTTTTAGTAATGATAATAATTATTTAATTATTTTAATTAAAATTGTTTTGTTAGACTCGAACAACAACTGTATATATATTTACTGCAAAGATATCTACTATTGAAATACCGCTCGGAATCGGAGACACGTCTGCAAAACCTAATGATCAGTTTAAGTGATTTAAGGATTTCAGCAGAACTTCATAGAGAATACGAGAGAATTGAATACAACAAATGCAAAGCTCGTTATTATTACGGACCACAATATAAACTGCTTATAGACTAATAAAGTTAAAAATACGATATAATTACTATTGAATTTATTTTATTTTTATGTACTGATTATATGATTAAAATTACTATACATATAACTTATGGACATTTTATTGAATTTACATATTGTCTGTTATGTTGAGCTCAAGTATAGCGCCAAACACTACGGCTCTTATATTGAATAATAGGGACCACTTATGAGAGAAATATAACAGTTATTTACAGAATATTATTGCATTCGTTGTGAATACTGTTAATTAAAGCATTTGTGTGTAATATAAATTACTTTTACACTATATGTTCATTTAAATGCCATGAAAATTAATTATTATTATAAACTCAACTGAATTTTATAAAATACTAATGACGTCGAGAGAGAGAGAGAGAGAGAGAGACGACGGATGGGCGAAGAGAAACGCCGACAAAAACTACTGAAAACAACGAGTTCTTCATCTCTGGAGTCAAAGACAATGACTATTAGTTCCGACTTAGAGAGAGAGAGAGAGAGAGAGAGAGAGAGAGCGTTTGTTTTACGCAAACAAACCGAACAGACACAAAATTGATTACTTTTTGTACAATGTAAAGTGTTATTATATAAAAGTGTATTATTATTAGTTTTAACAAATAGTTTTTCATTCAATATCCTTAAAGGTTAATCAATTGTATTAATATGAGTGCAACTTATATTTAGTTACATTTATTCAAATAATAATTAAATATTTGTGTTATACAATGCTACAAACAGGGAATTTATTGATTTAGGTGTTTCATTCATAATAGACTTATAATCAATGTTGGTATTATAAATATAATATATTACAATATATTCTGTTTACGTCACCAAAAGTGATAGCGTGTACTTAGTGTACAGTATTTGGTGTTTGGGAAAATATTAACATCCATGGTAATGTAATCAATATGGTTAAAAATAAGATAATAGTGAAAATCTGTCAAATATGTGGTGATAATAAACAAGTTGGTAAGTTATAAATATGTAAATATAGTGCATAGAATAACCTAATAAAAGTGATTATTATATTTGTATAAAAATTATTTTATTTGTAACCTTAGGCCGTAATTACGGTGCGATTACTTGCGAGACATGTAAAACATTTTTCCGTCGGCTGAGTCTCAAAGACAACGTTTGTTATAATTATTATATTTTTGAGAAATTTAATGTTAATTAATATAATTGTTACAGAATTCTATGGCATGTGTTTCGGACGGCAATTGCATTATAACACAAAAGACCCGAAAAGTTTGCCAGAAATGCCGACTCGACAAGTGTTTTGCTGTGGGAATGAAATCTGTAATTAATTTGTTATTAAAAATATTATTTATTAATAAAATATATTTAAAATTTCATTCAAACAGCAAATCATACGAAGCGATGAGGAAAACGAGTGGAGACGACGGATGGGCGAAGAGAAACGCCGACAAAAACTACTGAAAACAATTAGATCTTCATCTCTGGAGTCAAAGACAATGACTATTAGTTCCGACTCTTCTCAGGAGTGCAACGAAATCGACGTTTTGATTGACTCGACGGCAGATATAAGTAACGAAGAACTCTTTGGACAGATTATGGACATCGAGAACAGCTGTCATTCAGACCAAGAGCTAAATGACAGCCAATGGCCGGCGATTCCTGTGCTTAAATCACTCGTTGATTATAACGGCATTAATCAACTCGAGTCCAAACGCATATCAGGGCTGTTGGGGGCGTCCAAAGTGTTTGACTACCCAACTAGTAAATTGATCATGGATATAAGTGACAAGGGTGAAATGTTCCGCTTTGCAATGCTACGCACAGAGTGTCAAATCAATGAGATTACTACATTCACTAAACAACTAGAAGGTTTTACTTCAATATGTGATCAAGATCAGTTGTCACTACTTAAGAGCGGGTGTTTCGAAGTATTAATGTTTAGGGTTGCCCTGAAATTCACACCAGGGCGACAGGAGCAAATGATCCGGGTGGTATGTGCATGATATTCATTTGTGATATTTTAATTGATTATTTAAATTTTAAATAATATTAATTATTAGAATAATGAATATTCTGTGCGAATAAAAGCCCGATTACCAGAATTTACTAAATGGAGTGGTATTGAGTGGTATCAACGGTTCTTGCATTATGTGAATCCAGTGTGGAAAAGTGACCCTGTTGTTATTCACATGGTAATTATAAATATTTGTTTATTTATTTATTTAATTGCATTATTTTATTTACAGTTAATGGCAATCATACTTTATAACCCTAACCGAGCGAATCTATTGCAACGAGAATCTATTAAGTAATATTTAATAAACATGAATTAATAATTTTTATTTATTTTAATTGTTATTTTAATTAATATTATTTATTTGTTAGACTCGAACAACAACTGTATATATATTTACTGCAAAGATATCTACTATTGAAATACCGATCGGAAACGGAGTCTGAGACAAGTGTGCAAAACCTGATGATCAGTTTAAGTGATTTAAGGATATCATCAGAATTTCATAGAGACTACGAGAGAATCGCATTTAAAAAATATAAAGATTGCTATTATTACGGACCCCTATATAAAGAGATTCTAGATTTATAATTTTAAATCTACCACATTATTAACTTTGTATACATTTTAGTATATTAATCATGTTAAATAACAATTTTGAAATTTGTAAAAAAGTATTTGCAAAATAAACTTTATGTTTACTTCTAATCATGTAATCTAATAATGAAATGCCTAATTATTATAACATTATATAAAATTTTTATTATGTTTTATTATCTAACAATATACTTTAGATATTTAGTGTATTAATTTAAATGGTGTAACACTGTTATGGGACTTACTTATAATGTTGGCAATAATGTATTGTATATACAGATATTTTAGCATGAGCGTTTTTGTGACACACGAATAATTTAAACTCTGTTTTAGTACATTATTAATTACTTATTATGATCAAATTTACAAGTGTACAAATATGAGTGAAATTAAAATAATGGTAAAAATTTGTCAAATCTGTGGTGATAATAATGATGTTGGTAAGTTATTTTTAATTATGTAAAAATTAATAACATAACAAAACAAATATTATTAATTAATTAATATTAGGTCGTAATTACAGTGCA